TTTTATTTTATTTTATTTTATTTTATTTTATTTTATTTTATTTTATTTTATTTTATTTTTTATTTTCTGGAAAGTGCCACAAACATAGAAGGCAGTTCCAGAAAGAGGATAACCAAAGACATTTGTGTAATAGCAATAATGGCCCCAATTGCTATTCAATTAGTCTTTGAAGCAGTCAAAGTTCACTCTAAAATCCAGCTTCTGGATCTTGAGTCTACAGTTGCTTCCCCACTGGTCCTTCTGTTTGACTTTTTGACTGTTTATTTACTGAAGTGGTGGGCGTCAGGCCCAGGGCCTCCCTTAGCTAAGCACACGCTCTGTTACAATCACTGCCTTATTCTTTACCTGTACAATCTGTTCTGCTCTGGGAAGTGACGATGTCTTATTAGAACATGTAATGACTCAGATCGAGTATCTGGTTACGCCCTCCCACTGGCTCCTTGCATTGCAAGTGGCCTCACCATGGCCATTCAAGGCTCGCTCTCCACATGTCTGTCTGCCATCTGTTTTCTTTCCAGCCACTCTTCCTTTAGTCTCTGCTCTCCAGTCACACCGACCTCTAGTTTTGGTATGGTTTTGACACAGGGTCTCTCCATGTGGCTCTGGCTGGTCCTGAAATAAGTCAGACTTGACTTTGCTGAAGGGACTGGGAGCTTGCTGTTTCTTCTGCTTAGAATGTTCTCCCCCGTCATCTCCACACGGCCACCTTCATCTCTAAAGCAAGGCTCTCGGCTGGTGACTCACTATACACTTCCGTACCCCAACAGGCAGTGCACCTGTTCCTCAGAGTAACAGGGTGACTCTTCTCCAGGTGTGATCAGGGTCTAAAAGTCTCTGGTTATCTTATCACTGGCAGATAAGCAAAGGTATAAATCAAACTGGGACTACACTGGGCAAACACTGCTGGGCTTGAACGCAGCTTGTACATACATGGTGTTTTTCTTCTCTTTACAGGTTATTTTCAGAGCTCTGTCAGTCCCGTATGACGTAGAAAACCCTTACAGTGCCAAAGTTCAGGAGCAGCTAAAGATCACCAACCTCCGTGTACAGCTGCTCAAGCGACAGTCCTGCCCTTGTCAGAGAAACGACCTGAATGCGAAGCCTCAACATTTTACACACTATGCCATCTATGACTTCATTGTCAAGGGCAGCTGCTTCTGCAATGGCCATGCTGATCAGTGTGTACCTGTTGATGGCTTCAGACCCATCAAGGCCCCAGGAGCATTCAACGTGGTAGGTAAAACAAACCAGAAATTCTCTCAGCTGTAGTCCCAAGTCTCCCAAGTTGGTGTCTCCTCCCAGAGTTGTTCTGCCTGTTACCCACCCCTCCAACTCACTGTCATCCCGCAAAGTCCTAGTCGCTTGATTTTGAAACTTCAGTTTTGGCATTATAGTCAAGTATGATAGCTAGTTTCCTTGGGAAATGCCCATGCCACTTTGTTTGTTTGTTTGTTTTGTGCCATGACCTCTGGATCTAAAGTGTATTGCGAGCAGCATTGAGACATTGGCATGATCTGTGTATACAGCATTATCGCACACAGGCCACCTTTGGCAGCAAATAGGGACCTTTGCTGGGATTGTGTAGTGAGAAAAACAGGATCCTCTGTTCAATGTCTGGTGGCTTTGCTGTCCATCAGTACCATCAGCAGGATGAACAGCAATTCTCTGTGAAGAGCATTGCTTTGCCCAGAGGGCAGAATTAACCTCTCCTTCCCTGGTCTTCCATCCATTTTTCTGCAAATGTTTTTGTGCTCTCCTGAAACTCTGCCTGTCTCCCTCTGAGACCATAACTTCCTGAGAACAGGGATGCGTTTTTCAGGGTACCTACATCCTTGGGGCCAGCGTGTTACCTGAGCTAGACGCAGGTGCTCAGTAAGTGAAGAGTAGAACACAGACAGAAGATTTTTAAAAACTGGTATCCTGTCGTCTGAAACAGTGTCTCATACATCAAGCACTTCAGAACTATAGATGAGGATTAGAAAACAAAACTAAAACTATGTAGGAAAACACTATTGATTTTCTTTTTTTTAGAAATTTATCTTTTTGAAATTAATGTTTAGCTAGTATACAAACTAATGGATGTCATTTTGATTATTTTCATGCATGCATGTCATTATATGTTGTGTTTATTCAGCCCCCATTCTCCATTCTACCCCTCCCCATCTTTTGCTCTTTTCCCTCCTCAGAAGTCCCTTTCCTGTCACATTTGTTCTACTTATCCTCTCAAACCAATGCACCCACAAAAATATTAAAGACTCAAACTAGAATTTTAATCTTTCCCCAATAGTATCTTTTCTACTATCCAGTCCTACATATGCATATACATATACGTGTGTGTGTGTGTGTGCGTATATAAATCTAAATGTAGATTCTGCAATCTGAGAGATGACATGTGCTGTCTTTATGAGCATGGCTTACTTCCTTGAACACCATGATCTCTGCTTCCATCCATTTTCCTGCAAGTGTCATACTCTCACCCTCTACAGCCAAATGTAAGTCTATGGGGTCTGTGCACGGCAGGCTCCTTACCCAGCCAGCTGCAGGTAGTTGTCCAGGCTGGGCATCTATCCTGGCTCTTCGGATCCTGTATACACTCAGTTCTTTAATTTCACACACACCCAAGCAAAGCAAAGGAAGTAACAGTTGAAACGACAAACAAAACTGAAGACCTTTACTGCTAATGAGGTGGAGTAACTTGGGCATGGTAATGAACTCTTGTAATGTCAACACTCAGGAGGCCAAGCCAGGAATATAACAAGTTCAAGGTCAGTTTGGGCTGCGTGGTGAAACTTTGTCACAAAACAAAGCAAAACAACTCAAGAGTATCAATATGACATCAACGAAAGGGTAGAGTCTCTAGTTTATTCTTTATCCTGGTCCTGACATAGGACAGACTATCAGGAACCGTGGACTGGTTAACCAGCAGGATACTGTGGGCTGAAAGGGCTGCATTGCTGGGGCACAAGGCATCAATGAGCAGGGTAACTCAGATGAATGGGAGAATGGTCAGAGTAACTGGCTAGAAACAGTTACTTCTAAAAGTGAATGTAGTATTCCCCAAAAGTGCAGCTTTCATATAGCCAGTATGTACTAGTTCCCAGGCAGTGAAAGGGCTTTGAAAGAATACCGCTGCAAATAAAGAGTAGAATAATTTTGTGTATCTCCACTAATTTTGTTCAGGTATGAGTCAAATAAAAATGACCCAGATGCTCTAGAGACAAGTGGTATACTCCAGCAGGGCTCTAGAGTCTGTTGAGCAGGGCTTCCAGACTATCTGGGTGCTTACTGAGGTCTGAGGTCACAAGTTTAAAGACTAAGTTGACTCACGTACAGCTAATAGTGTTCCTAGGATGAGCCACTATAACACCGTCTGATATTCTAGGCTAGAGTTCTTTTCATTAAGGTGAACATTTGTAATTCATTAATTTTATTTCAAAAATTTCTTCATTTTATTTTATATGCTTTGGTGTCTTGCCTGCATGTATGTCCATGTGAGGGTTCCAGATCCCTTGGAACTGGAGTCACAGACAGTTGTACACTGCCATATGGGTGCTAGGAATTGAACCTGGGTCCTCTGGAAGAGCAACCAGTGCTTTTAACCACTGAGCCATCTCTCCAGACCATACTTATTTTATGTGTATGAATATTTGGCCTGAGTACATTTATGTGTACCACATGGATGCCTGTAGGATTCCCTGACTGGCACCCCAGAGGGTTGTGAGCCACCATGTGGATGCCAAGACTCAAACCTCCGTCCTCCACAGTGTGGCAGGTACCCTTCACCACTGAGCCACCTCTCTGGCTAGAATTCTTAATAGACGATGGAATGGAGAAGTTGATGGAAATGGAGCCTGTTTTGTTTCTTACACTATCTAAGATTGTAGGGTCATTCCCTGTCTTGAGAAGAGAGATTCCAGTAGGTAGCTCCCTGTGTCTCTCGGAAGGAATACCACCTCCTTCTCCCTCTTCCCAGATCCACTCCATCTAGCCATCACCAGCCAAGCTTCCCCTCGATTGTTCCCTCTTTTGGGAAGGAAGATCATTGTAATGACTAATCAGGAGCATCTCGGAGCACCAACCAGACCTAAATGTGATTTGTCATAGCATTTGCTAAGTCACTCTGTCTCACAATAAGGATAACATCTGCTTTCATGGTTACTGTGAGGATTAAAAAGTGTTATGGTTTCAGGCTTGGTGGTGCATGCCTGTGATCCCAGCCCTCAGGAGGCTGAGGCAGGAGGATTACAAGTTTGAGGGTAGGCTGGGCTATGCCCTGAAATGCTGTCTCAGGAAAATGAGCACAAACCATAACGTCAGTGTCTACACTAGGATAAACACTATTTCTTTTCTTCGCTGTTCTTTTCACATTGCATGATCTCCGCCTCCTCCTCTACTTTCCCCACATATGCTTCTTCTCGGTTATGACAAATATAAAACAAAGCCTCTGCATTACCTGACATGTTTACAAGGCCAGGGGTTCCATGGCACGGGAAACTGTGCTTTGACTCCAGCCTGCTTAAGGCCCAGGAATTACGTGTGGAAAAGATCCGAAGGATGCTTCTCTTCACAGCTGTGGAGGACTGGTTTAGTTCCTGTATCTGCTAGCAGCTGGTGATTTTACAGCTGTTGGATGATGGATGGCAATAAAAAGGAACATGGAGCATTTTTTTTTTTAAACCGAAATATCCAATCTGCTGGCTAATACCAGAGACCGTTGAGTGCCGGGGAGAATTATTTCAATGCCTTGAGCTATGCTTGTTAAGGTGGATTTACCCTCCATTACGAGAAACTCGTTTAAAAAGAGGGTCAGTATTTTGATGCTATTTAAATTTAAGCGTCCACACTGCTATTTGGGGAACCATATCAGCTAGTTTATGGACAATGTCACCTAGTCACATAGCTGTGTGAGGCATGTTTAAGAATCGTTCACATGGTCTTATTTCAGTAGTTTTGTGGGGATTTTTTTCTGCAACTGAATCTGAGTTTACACTGAATCCATGTTTACATAACTCCTATATCATAAAGAACAGACTTAAGTGCATAGTTTCCATCTTTCTTCAAAATTTTCCTGTATTATAAACAAGTAAAAACTATCACTAGGGAACTGGAGAGATGACTCAGTGGTTAAGAGCACTAGGTATCAGCTGGGCAGTGGTGGCACACAGCTTTAATCCCGGCACTTGGGAGGCGGAGGCAGGTGTATCTCTGTGAGTTCAAAGCCAGCCTGGTCTACAAAGTGAGCTCCAGGACAGCCACAGTTACACAGAGAAACCCTGTCTCAAAAAATAAAACAACAACAAAAAGACCAGTAACTATCATGCAGGAACTTGGGTTCTCTTCCCAACACCTACATGGCTGCTGCTTATGACAATCTATAACTCTGGTCTCAGGGGATCCGATACCCTCACTTGGCCTCTGCAGGCACCAGGCACACATGTGATGTACATACATACACATAGGCAAAACACTCATGCACATAAAATTAAAAGAAAAGAATGAATAAAAAGAAAGTTCTGGGCCTGGAGAGATGGCTCAGCGGTGAAGAGCACTGACTGCTCTTCAGAGGTCCTGAGTTCAATTCCCAGCAGCCACATGGTGGCTCACAACCATCTGTAATGGGATTTGATTTTGTTCTTCTGGTGTGTGTAAAGACAGAGCACACATAAAAAAAAAAAAAAGTGCCATCTATAAAATGTTATATTGTTATAAATGAATAAAATCAGAAAACTCTTCAATCTTTATGGTCTTATGGAAAAGAACACTAAGTTTAAAACAGTCTGTTATTAAATGAGATGACTGAATTGAGATTTTTAAATCTTTTTTTCTACAGTAAGATGCACATCCATATTTGGAAGTGAACATCTGTAAGTTAGTTTTAGATCTTACCATGGAAAAAACATGCTATCATGGACTAAAAATACTAGCATTTGCCACTTACTGAAAGTTTGTGCTGTAGCATGGGCTGAATGCTACAAGGCTACTGAATGTAATCGTCACTTCTTGTCATTTCCTTCACAGAAGAGCAGCTAAAGCATGAAGTGTATTCTGGCTTCCCAAAAGCCACTCAGAGAACAGCCACCCTCAGTTTACCTGTCAAGACTCAAGAGCTCGTTCCCTTATTGTTGTAATTCTGTGAAAGACATGCATCCAACCAGGGTTGGCTAGCTGAGAACAGAGAACAGAGGGGAGGAAGGATGGGAGGGAGAAGAAGATGAAGGCAGGGTCCAGAAACG